TCAACCAGCGGATCAGAGTTGGAATGCCGGTTAATTGTTATTGGAACAGGGCTTTTGGTCTCCCGCGGAACGCAGCTTATTCGTCCCACCCGACGGGGCGGAGGCGGCTTTCGCGCCGCGCAGCCCTTCGCTGCCGCTAAGTCCTTTTGGCCCTTTTGGCTCCGCGGTGGGCGGGCCCCACCACTATTACCACTTCTGCTGTTATTCCGTACCCCACGGGTACGCGGCCGCCCCGTGGAAAGGCATACAGGTGGTGGGCGGGTGGTGGCCATGTGCGGCAAGGAACCTGTCGGCCCTGTCAAAAGGAGGTACGGAGCGGAGAAACACAATACTGTTGTTTCTGAAGTGTGCACGAGTCAGCCCCTTGACACACTGTTAAGATCAGGACATATGGTTTTCTCCACATTTTCAGAATAGAGACGAGTTTTTGTGAGTGCACACTATGTGCCAGGTGGCTGATTAACCTCGCTCACTTCTGTATTGTTATGCTGTACCGCATCACGCACAAGCAGTGCGGGCGGGCTGTCCTATCGCTCCTGTCCACGGCGACTTACGGACCGAACGAGAGGGCAACCGGCCCGCACGAGTGCGTGCGGTAAAGCATAACTGCAGAAGTGAGCAGAGTTAATCAGCCACCTGGTGTACGCATATGGAAATATATTATGAAGTGATTAACAAGGGAAACATGAAACCGCATAAAACACTTTTTTTTTTTTTTTGCTTCGTTTTGTTTTTGTTTTATTTTAATTGTCAACCTTCTAGTGGTGTGATCATTTAAAAAGTACGTTCGTCCTTCACCATTACGGAACTGCAAAATTTTTCCAATGCGAGGGGCTCTCATAGCGCCTGATAGGTAGACAACATCTCGCCTGCTGTGCATGCCTGTCATGTGGGGTGGCCTACCCCGAGACTCGCAGGCGCCCAGCTCTCGTGGTTTGCCGCTTGTATCTGGACGTGCATTCTAGACGAGACGACCTCTCAGGAGAACAAAGTACTGTTTTCAATGCAGCGTGAAACTAATTTCGGTATGAGCGTCGCCCCGCCTAACACTCGGATTTTTTGTGCTGGCATATTTCCCACTTAAGGCGAAAAATAATCATCAAATTTTCGGATTGTCGCTGAAGCAGAATATTTCGAATGTCATGCTGCACTCCGAGTTGGTTGTGGTGGTGCAATGTGTCACAGCAGGGGGCAGACGAAGAGCGGAAAGGGTGCGAATGACTGAGCGCCTCGGCGCCTGATCTCCTGCAGAATGCGGAGTCAAGCGGTTGGATCAGAGGGATCGTGATGATTTTGTTTGTTGGGGGCCGGTTAAGGGGAGGGCAGCGGCGGGGCGGTATGTGCGAGCTGAACGCCCCTTTCTTTTGCAGAAGCGCGGGTGCGGCGGCGGCCGCGCGGTCAGAGCGTGGTCGGGGCGGG